CCCCCCCAGCCTGGCGCGCCGATGTGGCTGCCGTGGTCATGCAGGAGGGGCTGGCCCATGTCTGCCTTGTCACACCCAGCATGACCCTCACACGTGCCAAGGTGGAGGTGAACATCCCGCGCAAGCGCAGAGGGAACTGCTCGCAGCACGACCGGGCCCTCGAGAGGTTTTATGAGCAGGTGGTGCAGGCCATCCAGCGGCACATCAACTTCGAAGTGGTGAAGTGCGTGCTGGTGGCCAGCCCGGGCTTCGTGCGGGAGCAGTTTTGTGACTACATGTTTCAGCAGGCGGTCAAGACCGACAACAAGCTCCTGCTGGAGAACAGGTCCAAGTTCCTGCAGGTAAGGGGCCAAACCACCTTCATAGTGGGTGATCACAGAGGTTTGGGAGCTGCGTGTGGTGATGGAAGAGAGTTAAGAGGATAGTGGGAAATAATTCAATTTCTGGAGAACAGAGCTTTCTCTCATTATGAGGAAATTATTCTCTCAAATTTTAGGCTAGTTGTGCAGGGCGGGGATGTTCCCTTCCTAGGAGAGCTTGAAGGGGAGTAGAGAAAATGCTAGATATTTGACACTACTTTTGAATACACATTGATTGCCTCATTAAGCCCAAGTCAAGCTGGAAAGTGGTCTAACTGTGCAGTTATTCTGTCATACTGTGACATGCATGAAATAAAAGTTTTTTAAAGCTTTTTAAAAAGAAGAGTCTGGGTGTAGTGTAGGTTAGTTAATGCTGCTGCTAATTTTGCAGTAAATAGCTAAAGATTATGCAAGCCGTAACTTTTTTTCCTGTTGCTTGGCTGTCTTTGAGTGTCTTATTTTCTGTTAATTAAAAAAAGCAAAGCCAGCACAACAAATAGAAGTTTCTCAGGGCTATCACTTCTGAATTACAGCAGGGCTGTAATCTAGGCCTTTTAAACTATGGAGGGGGTCCCCATATGGGAGAGACGCAAAGTTTAGGAGTCCTGAATTGCATAGAAGCCTGTTTCTTAAGTTTTAGCAAAATGACACTTGAAATTGTGAAAGGCTTTTATACATACAGCTGCACAGTTATTATGTCTGTAAACCTCTTAAGCTTAATGCTTTTGCACTATTTCTCTGCAACCTTAAGAGGTCTTCCTCTTCTCAAATAGTTAAAGGCTAAAGAAGACTTAATTTCTCAGTATGTGGTTCTACCTTGGGGCTTTGTGCAGTACTTTCCTTATATAAAGCACTTTTTGAATAAGAGAAGCATCTTTCCTATACTTCTTAAAATACAGAGTTTGAGGAATTTGGTTTAAGCTAGGGTTTGCAGAAGAGTAGCAGTCATGCTGTCCACGTACTCCAAGTACATAGGGAACCTATCCCTGCACATATATATTAAATAAGCAATATAATTCCATGTAAATTGCTTTAAATAGTATACATTACTACCTTCTTCTGGGAAAAGTTATCTGTGTTTCAAATGAAAGCTACACCTATAATTAGCCAGACAAATACTGTGTAGAGGGAACTGTTTGTACTTGGTTAATCAAGAAAATGATTTTTTGTTTGTTTTTTAAATACATACCTCTAACTGTGTTTACTGTAGGTGCACTCTTCTTCTGGACATAAGTATGCACTGAAGGAAGCCCTATGTGACCCAGCTGTAACTAGCCGGCTCTCTGACACCAAGGCAGCTGGTGAGGTCAAAGCCTTAGATGATTTCTACAAAATGCTGCAGCACGAGCCGGACCGGGCCTTTTATGGTCTAAAACATGTGGAGAAGGCCAACGAAGCCATGGCTATTGATACCCTGCTGATCAGTGATGAGCTCTTTCGGCACCAGGATGTGGCTACCCGCACTCGATACGTTAAATTGGTAGATAGTGTGCGGGAGAACATGGGCACGGTGCGCATCTTCTCCAGCCTTCACGTGTCTGGGGAGCAGCTGGGGCAGCTGACAGGGGTGGCAGCCATCCTGCGCTTCCCTGTTGCTGAGCTCTCTGACCAAGAAGATGAATCCAGCTCCGAAGAAGATTGATGGTGACTTCATTCCACCTTTTTTTTTCTCCCAGTTGACATTGAAAAGACAGCTTCCCTTCCTAAAGACTGTGTGTAGATGTGCCATGACATGTAATTTAAGTTTTTTTGATAGCATTCCTTAAATCTCTGCTCAGCACTCTAATGGATACCTCTTCTATGACAAATTATGGATACACTATGGATTGGAGTTGATTGTTTTTGCAAGTTACATACCTGACTTTCAGCAGAGCAAGAAACTGATTTAAATCCCAAAAGCTGTTCTTTTTGTGTGTTCATGCAGCTTGACAGTTCAATTTTGAAATGTGTAGGAAAAGATAATAAATTAAGAGGGAAAAGTACACCAGATTGTCTTTATTTTTGTGGGGTTTTCTTCGTGTGTTTGTTTTTGTTTGTTTTGGGGTCTGTGTTTGTTTTATTTTTAACATGCTTGAAAGTAGTGTTATAAAATCGTAAAAACTTCCTCAGCGGTGGCCTTTCCAACCTAAGCTTGATCTTCTTAGGTGCTCACTTTCCATTTCTTAGGAAAAAGGTAGAGGAATGTGATGAATGTCATGTCAGAGGTTTCTTTGGTGTGCGCGTATACTTCTATGCTTGTATGCTTCTGGTATTTGAAGCGGTCTTTCAGAAACCAGTCTTTCTTTTAAGTTATTTCCTCTTGAATATAAAAGCAGATGCAGAACAAATTGTGGAGCTCAGTGAGCTCACTTGCAGACTTTCTTAAACAATGATTTCTTGGAAGGTTGTTCTGAGGGCTAACAAGAGGTAGGCTATGATTTGCAATTGACTATTTTCTAATGAATTGGCATTGGGATTATGTCATGTCTAGTTCTTCAGAACCTTATCCATATAACTGTGGTTTACTGAAACATCCTTGTTTTCTGTTAGGATTCTTTTGAGCATAGTTTAGATAATATCATAATCTGTTATTTCACCGCCAATGTACTCATTTAAAATTTATAGTTTGTTAAGGCTGTTGTGTTTATAAAACTGTAATTTATGTATACACACAATACTGATAGCTCTAAAACCCAGTCTTGTTTTCCTGGTTGTTTAATATAACAAAAGCACTTGCAGAATTATGATGACTTTTTTTTTTTTCCAGTGAACATTATATGTTAAGTTGAAGAAACATAAACTACTGACAAGATTCCCTGAAAGGGGATTCTTTAATTAAAGCTCTGGCTTGATGGTGTAGGTTGCATGTGCAAATAAGCTATATTTATTCATTTGCTTACGTTGAAGGAGATGAGACATTTCCAAAAATTAAAATCTAATTTAAGTAAATATACCAAAGGTTGTGAGATATAGACAAGGACATAATGATGGAAGAGTTTAAAAAAAAAAAAAACTTTTAAAGCATTCACTCTTGTCAGAATAACTTCAGAAAACTATTTTTAAAGATGTTCTCATGATGCTGATATGTCAGCTCTAGGGATTCCTGCTATACGCTAAGTTACATATAAAGAATGTATTCAACACTTGGAAGAATCTGACCCCCAATAAATATTATTTCATAAATGAATACTTGCATTAAACAGTCCCAGACTAAATAATGATTTATTAATTTCTCTTTCTAAGGCAATCTTCTATGTTAATATTTCTCTTCTAATTAAAAATTTGTTGCCATTGAATGCTAAAGCTACTTTAGGTTAAAATTGTATTACAGAAGGAAATTCTTAATTTGCTTCTAAACAGAGTTACAAACCCTGTCACTTACTTGGAATCCTACTATTTCTGGACTGTAGAATGGTTTGCTTTTCTTTTGGGCCAACTTGAACCAAGTTATTCCATTTTAAAAAAGGAATGGTGAAGATTTTGTTGCAAATTGTAGGAAGGTTACAGTAGCAATTCTGGAAGTTTTTATTTGGGACTTGTAGTGTTTCCCTAGGAAAATCTTCTTATTTGATCTTTAAGGTATAATGGAAAGCGTTTGGTAAGAAAATGTGTTCATAGTGATTTTTTTTTGAAAATATTTAGAGTTATAACTGTGTACTGACTTTATTTTCTCTTTTCCTTTTTTTTAGCTACTGTTGTCATTGCTTTAAGTCTCTAAAAGAACTATATCCAGTGTCCCAAAATATGGAAGGGTGGGATTTTTTTTTTAAGCGCTTCTGTAGTAAAATAGATACACAGTCATTATGTAGACAAATACATCCGGTTTCAGGAAACAGCTTAAGGGCTTGGTTTTGAAAGGAGGCTGTACTCAGTACTGCAGATGCTTGACCTGGCAAAATTCCAGAGACATCCATATCTTTTACATTTAAGGGAATTTTGAATGGTTTGTAAAGTCCAGATTGGCAAAGAGGCTTCCTTCACTTCTGTTTGCAATAGCACCTACAGAGATGCATATTATCTGCCGTTTGAATCAGTAAGTGCTGTAGCCATGGGAAAATATTTTTCTTGACCTTTCTTCAGAAATAGATCTATTAAATAATAAACTAAAATCTGCCCGTAAAATTGAATGCTAAAGAGAAAATTGTTCCCTTAAAGCTTAAGTATTTAGTAACTTCAAACAATATCCTAATTCTTGCTTCTCCTTGATTTTGATATAATTCTGTGGGTTAATAAGATGTTTTATCCTTCACCTTTTTTTTTTTTTCCTTTTTCAAAATAAATGACTACACGTTTTTTACTATTTAGAAAGTTTTGTGGGAAGGAGGGTTTTAAAAAAAAAAAAAATTGCTTGATCCTGAAGTCTGGTCTGCAGTAAGCCCCAAAGATTGATCCATTGATTTAGGTCACAGAGCTTCTCTTGCAACCTGATACTTTGGAGCAGATCCAGGTTTTCTTAGATGTGTCACATTTGGCAATTAAATCCAGTTGTGATTATATCATTTTTTGAGGGGTGTTTATAGGATAAAGTTTAGTACAAAACATACAGTCATCACAAGCAATGGACTAAAGAATCTTATTAGCTATATAGCAACATAAAATGTAAATCTCTTAAATTTGTAAACTACTTCACTTGACCTGGGGAGTTCGCCATCTTCCTCCTTCCTGCATTCCCAGTGTAGGCTATTGTAGTAAAATGCTGCTAATAAATGATCCTGCAAGAGAAATCCTTCTGCCCAGCTGTATTATGCAGGCTACATCAATTCAACTTAATTTGTGATGCACCTAGCATGCTATTTTTAAAGCCATGTAAAGGTCGGAAGTAATTTTGTTTGTTTGCGACTATTTTCTTAAAGCCTAAGTAGCCCTGAAAGCAAACTCAGTTCCGCTTTGAGGATTTACTGAATTTACTTCTAGGCTGCTGACCTTCATTTGCCTCTTTCTGTGTTATAGTTGCCTTCTCAGCTTACCTACAGTTTGAGCTTCTTTAATTTCTCTCTGGAAGCTGCATCATCCATCTGGAAATTGTTTGATTTATAAAGGCAAGTTGGGAGGTTTCCTTTCCTCTGAAGTTTTCATATTTCTGTTTTTAAAGAAAATAAGTCTGTTTCCTATAACACTAGACATTCTGTTTATGGAAAAACACGTTCTCAAAATTGTATGCTGCTTTATCCCCAGCAACTTCTGTGCACTGTCAGGTCTCTTTCTTCTAGATAGGATTTAAGAAAGTAACTTGCAAAATGCAAAGCTGCAGTTTAAAAGCCTGCAATTAAGAATCCTTGTTTATAACTAAAAACTAGAATCCCTTCCAGATAAATGAGGAATAACTTAATAAGTAAAAAGAATGGTTTTAGAAATCCACTTAGCTCCATACTTTTTTGATAAAACAAAACTGCAGCTTTTTTTTTTTTTTTTTTAAATAGTCATCAGTCTGATCCACTCCATATCTACCTGGCTTTGCATTTTAAGAACTTCATTCTTAACGATTAGGATTGATGGAAGCAACTGGTCGATCAGAGAGCAAGAAAAAAAAGGTTTCTTCATCAATGTGGGGAGGTTACAGCTCTCGTAGCCTTTCTGTCTCACCTCAGTTCTTATTAAATCTGCACCTGCAAACTTTTGAGGCATCATTAAGTAACAATGCTGTTTGCTGCTGGGGCTTAACGATTTTTAATTTTAGTTTGACTTGCTTATGGTAGAAATGGAAGAGAGAGATGACATCATCCCATTTGATTCTGAAGCATCAGTGATTCTCTTATAAAACAGCCACAATTTGTGTTAAGAGACTGCGGCGTTCAAACTTTTTGTAGG